AACATTTAAGAAAATATGGATAGATTGTAAGAATTCTAATTATTGACTTAGAGGAATGTGATTAATGGAAATAAATTAACTATGATTGTAAGTTGGGCCTACTATAATTAACTCCTGAAAACATATATTTCGGGGGCGGGGTGTGACATTCAGGGTAGGTCATTGGATTATGAGTTTTCTGATAAGGACTTCGAGACTTTCTCCATTTCTCCAATTGATCTACTTGATTTCTTGTTCGAGGTTGCCTTTGGTGGAACAGTTGAGGGTCAGGCAGTCCAGGCCGGGGTGGCTAAGAATGAGCTGATGGAAACTTTGGCTGCCAAGAGCGGTATGGCTGCTAAATGCACGGCAGTCATGGTACTTCAGTAGTGCATCAAGTGTCTATCCGGATCTTTATCTCATTTGAACAAGGTGAAATATGGCAGGCTGAACTTCCACAATGGCTCTGTCTGCTCGATCTTGTCTGTAAATGGTGACCTACTCAGGTTGGCCACGTTTCTACGAAGGGCAGTGTAGCTGCTCTACTACAAGCCTTTGTATTTCCTCATGGATTTGTGTCTGGTGAGGTAGCAGAGCCTCAAACTGCCATCGATGCTGACCTGCTGGTCCATGTTACTCTTTGGCATATCCTGCTCATCTGTGTTGAGGTTGCGATGTACTAGGTTCATTTTGTGCTACTCGTCGTCGCGCTTGGCAGAGGCTGCCAGTGGAACTTAAGCTGGTTTGCTCCCGTGCTCTCTTCTGTTCGTTATGTGGCTGCCTACTTCGGTGCTTCGTAGGAGGATCTTTTTGCGGGCCTAGCCTCGTGTGGACACTTCACCTGGAATGTCCTAAGTGCTCCTTGGAGTATGGACCCAACCTCAAATACACACTGACTTGTGAGCTGAGTTTGGAATGAACACTTCTCTGCATATCTAAGCGGGAAAAGACATTTTCCCAAGGGCCCAAACGAGAGTGCACACTACATGAACACATAGTTCATGGCGGGCTAAGCAGCTATTTGCCGGGACTTCACAAGAATGAGCCACGTTCTTTCACCCTTGTCCTGCTTCGGGACACTTCGTTTGGGGCGCGCTGCATCTCAATATGCTCGAGGAGTTAGTTGACCAAGGTGGTTTGCTGCAAGAAGGCGTTAATCAAATTGGTAACCTGCTGAGGCAGGTAGTACTCGCCATTTAAATTGGAAAAGTCTAGATAATGGGCGTCTTCATGTGTGGTGGAAGTATAATGGGTTGTAGGTACAAAACTTGAGCTCATAACGTGCATTCATGCAAAAATGTGGGGTGAAAATAACCCTTAGTCAATCGCGGGATTGGTGGTCTGAATCTGGATCGCTAGAGTGGCCTCGGATTGGAATGGGATGCGGGCCAAGTCGCGGGGCAGGCCAACCAGGCTGGGTGGTTGGGCCGTGTGTGTAGACGCGTTGGGCTCGCACATGTGGTAACTAGCCTTGGGCATGTGCTACACACTGAGCCGACGCTGGCTCCTCACAAACCTGGGCTCGATTGGCAGCTAAGTGGGCTCGAGCTACCTCAGTAGCGAGTTAGGCCTGGGCTGTTGCGGCTTAGGCTGCTGGCTGGGCTCCAGCTATTACAACTTAGGCTGCCTAACTTGCGACTTGAGCTGCAGTGGTCTGGGCCTCTTAGGTTAGGCCTACTTTTTCGTGGACTTAGGCCTCCTGCATGTGGGTTAGGGAGTGGACCTGGGCCTCCTGCCCAGGGTTTTGAGGGTTGCGGCGCTGCAAGGGCAGCATTGTTTGCATTTGGGCCATGGCTGCTAGGTCCCGGTGGTGGCGGTGGGGCTCCTCCTATCGTCGCGTTGAGCCTTGAGGATCGCCGTCATGGGGCTATGTCCTCGTCTCCACTCTTCGATCCAAATCCTTCTACGTAAGGGGTTCCGTTCATCGTGGTTTCTGAATTTCCTACCATTATATCCTTTCTCCAAGGATTGATCAAGAAACTTTTCTAGGAAAAATTAATTGATACAACGTGTGAAAAATTCAACGTAACAGAGAATTCAAGAAACAAATGCAAGAGGCTTCTTTGAGTATTTTAATCAGCTCTCAATGAAAGCACCAATTTGTTGATGCAAATTTCCACCGTCTTCAGTCGTAACGAAAATGCACCTGCAAAACAATCAACACCTTTGATCAAAGACCTAAGCCTCATGCGCCCACAAGGTAAGGGGGTTAGGCCAATGGATCTCCAATGCCTAAGTTAGTTTCCCTGAGAGAGTAAAGTGTTTAGGGCTTTTTAGGGGTAGCAAAAGCTTCTGAAATTTGGTAGAATATGGGGTATTTATAGGGAAGAAGGCCGGCCATAGTGTTAGGGTTTTACCCTACTCATGGCGGCATCCTATTGGCCAATGTTTATGGAGAAATATTCTCAAGATATTAAATAGGAAATAATGTAATGAGATAATTGAGTAATTATCCCTAATTGATTTAAATAGGTATTACTTACTTGCTTGGAGTCATTCTTCAATTGGGAATGTATTAAAGATAGAATTTGGGTAATTAATCCTTATCGTTAATGCTTTGACTTTTCCTTGCCAATGGCAGGTGAGCTGTGGGCAATCGTATTCAGCTGATGGGACCTTCAAGGGTGTGAGCTACACGTAAGAGTATCTGAGGAGCCTGCCCATTTATTGAGGGCAATCTTGTCTTTCTTGAGTAAAAGTCCATGTGTCGCCTCTAGAATTTTTGGGATTATTTTTTGTTCCACAACGGGTAACAATTAGAGTTTTGGTTTATTTCCTTATGTTGAATTGGAAGTAACGTCACATTTATAACCTCATTCTTTGATAATGCAATATAAGGGATTGACCATCGCCCTGATTAATCCCTAGAATTTAAGAAAAATAATAAATGGTGCCTAGACCTGCCCAGGTGCCAGCCTAAACTCACCTAGGCATCCACCTTGCCCGCCTAGGTGGTCTAGGCAAGCTGGGTGGTTTTGAAACCTTTTTTTTTTTTTAAATCTAAGGAAGTAGCTTAGTGACCCTCATTTAGATAGAAAATAAATAACTTTCATTTTGCATTTTAGTTCTTCAATTAATTGTAAAAGACTTGTTATATACTTAGAAAAACACTCATTATGTTTTCAACATGTTCTAGTACTTTATGATTTATATATCATTCTATGTTATAATTTATTTATCCTAATACGATTATGTAATTTTTAAGCAAAAGTTGACATTTATTTATATGTTTTAGTGAGTCCCACATCGACCAAAGGGAAAGAAGAATAAGAGTTTAAATAGGATTACCTTACTCTAATTAACACCGAGGCTTTTTGTAATAAAACCTCATACATGACGAGTTGGGCATGTGGTAATTACCAAGTTGGGAACAGTATCGGTGATGTTGGAGTGAGGCCCTCGATCCTTTGACTTGAAAATTTCAACATTTTATACAACAAATTTAATTAAATTAAAAAAAAATAACTGCTTAGGCCCCCGGACTAGCCTAGAGGCCTAGGTGCTAGGCTCTTGCTCACTGTCGAACTATTATTTGGCATCTTTTAGGACCATGATAACAATTATAACCTACGTTTGCCCTTCATCTAATTCCATTACATGAAACCATGATAACACTTATAACCTAGATTTTGCCCTAGATCTATTTTCATTACATGAAAATACTCTGTTTCTTACAACCCAACATTGTTGATTTTCAATATGCGTGAACTTAGTAAATGTAAGATGATAGATGGAGAAACAAAAAACTTTCTTTTGTTTTTTGATAAGGGCAATCTTAATTCATGCAGTAAAAGAAAAGAAGATAAGGAAGAAGTTAATATAAATAAGATTCATGGTTATGCCGTCACTGTGTACATCCATCACGCAAACAAAGAAAAGATGAAGCCCTAGCTACTTCTCATATATAATAATCCATGGAACAGGATCCTTATCGTTCCTCAATAATCTGCATGTACCACGCAGCACGCCAGTATAAGCTCAAAAGATATTGTTTCCCTTTAAACAATTTTTTAATTAGACGCAATCCTTTTAGTACCCTTTTTAATTAGACGCAATCCTTTTATCACATACGTTAAATATGATAAACATATCCAAATAAGGGTGTGATATCCACACATCTTATTTTATTTGTCACACATTTTTTTAATTTTCGATCGTCAGATTGGATGAATTGAAGAAGATCAACGGACATAAATTATCAAAGGGTGTGTGAGAAGTAAAATGGGGCATGTGGATAGCACACCCCACCCAAATAACAGATTTCACTTTCCTTTTTTTGTGGGGTTTTAACTTTTGAGTCCTTAACTTTGGCCTGGTGATGGTGCGTAGTGGGCAAAAAAGGGGAGAGATCATCTCTGAATCTCTCCTACCAAAGCCACCAAGTCCACTCATCTAGACTCTTGAAATTTGATTCACCGACTAAAATTATTATCTTTTTAAGGGGTTTTATGTTTGTAGTTATTGGATTAAATTTCAAGAGCCCAAATAAGTGGACTTGGTGGATTTGGTGGGAGAGATCCGGAGAGATCTAGTGAGGATCTCTTCCAAGCAAAAAAGGCAAGTTTGCGTAGGTGGGAATTATATATGAGAAGGTTCATCTAACTTTCTAATGGAGGCCATTAAGCCAGGCAGATTCATTTACGTTCACTGTAGCCAGCATGCATAAAAAGTTAAACACGAAAAATTAAAAAACAAAACGATCCAAATAGCAAGGGTAGCCACTTAGTACTAATTATTACAGTTTAATGATATTTATGTTCATTTATAAGTAAGAGATTTTAAGTTTGATTTTTTCCAAAAGCAAATTTGAACTACATTATTGCTAGTTCATTGTGAGACTAAGTCTCACCCTTCTTCCTTCGTGTAAATAATATCGTTTATTCAAATGCCAAGGGGTATATTTTTGGAAAACCGCACTAGGTGTCAAAATCGTAAATTTGGCTTCGAAACGTGAGCGTTTCTAGAACCCAGCAGTTTAAAAGCATGTGGCCAACTCTCATGTAAGTCCAAGGAGTTTCAACACCCAGACCAGACCATCTCTCTCTCTCTCTCTCTCTCTCTCTCTCTCTCTCTCTCTCTCAAATTTCGTCTTTTGGAGAGGCGGAGAGGCATTGCAATATCTCTCTCCAAAACCCCATTAAGAAATCCAATTAATCCTCCCTCTCCCTGAGATGGGTGGGAAGAAATTCGCAGTGCTTCTGTGCGCAGAGGACACGGAGTTTGTGAAAAAGACGTACGGGGGATATTTTGGGGTGTATCTGACAATGCTGGCGGAGGAGGGGGAGGCTTGGGACTTGTACCGGGTGGTGTGCGGTGAGTTTCCGGAGGATGATGAGATTGAAAGCTACGATGGGTTTGTGATATCCGGAAGCAGCAGGGATGCCCACGGCACTGATGCCTGGATCTGCAGGCTCCTCTCCCTCCTCCAGAAATTGGATTCCATCAAGAAAAAAGTTCTCGGCATTTGCTTTGGTCATCAGGTACATAATCATTCCATCATTTTTATTTTTGTCATCATGTTCACAAGAACCAGCTATATTATTACTCTAATTTACACTAAGAAATGAGTGTGGGTTTGAACCCAAATCAAATTAATTGAAGAGAATAATCATATTCACAATTCATCCTTGTATATATTGTTCATTCATTCTTTGTCTGTCTTTTGTTTTCTTCGTCGAATCGGTAATCGGTTGGTTTTTCCCATTTGGAAATGAATCGGATCCTCTCTGAGGCAACCCCTCGGTATCTTCCTGACCGTTGTTAGTGGGCCATTAGATATTTATCCAAAGCTACAAATGGGGACCCTCTAAAAGTTATAATAATTATAACCGTCGGATAAAAATCTAACGGCCCACTAATCTCGTTCAAGAGAATCCGGAGGGTTTGCCTAAGAGAGATCCAATTCCTGGAAATTGGATTTTTTAAGAAAGAGCATTTTGGTCGTTTTAGTATATTTTGCTTTAACGTGGTTTCCTATTTGATTTTTTTTCTTATTTTTTTGGATTTTGATTTTGGATGCCGCATTGGGAACAGTTTTTAAAATGTTGATATTGGTAGAAATATCGATATGTAATTTGTTGAAATATCGATAGATATATCAATATCGGTAGCTTTTGATGAAAATTAAGAAAAATGAAATTTTAGGGATTGTCAAACACTAATTTAGAAGAAATATAAGGGTTTCTTCTATATTTAATCGATATGTCAGAAATTTCAACAAAATATGTCGATTTTAGCTGAAATTTAAGAATTTCTCTTATATGTAATGAAGTTTAGACTTTACATGCTCCATATCTTTTTTTTTGAATTTTTCGAATATTTTCATAGAAATATCAACAATATCAAAGAAATTTCAAATACTGTTTGAAAAAAAACGAAATGGTGGGAAAAATACTGTTTCCTGCTGGACACTGACATTTTCGGTTATTTCAGATTAAGGGTACAATAGTCTTTATGGAAGCACAGAATTAATTGTGATTAATAAGTTAAGTAACCGCTCTGAATTAATACTTAAATATTCATTAGTAAGGGATTTATATACTCATTTTTTTATTTGGCCCAATAATTTTTTTAACACATTTTATTTAAAAAAAAATAAGAAACACGTGATATCTATTAATTGGATTAAATAAAAAATAAATATATAAAGTACTTACTAATAAGTATCGAAGTATTATCTATTATTAAGCATTGAAGAAACGTACAGGTAATAAGTAAGGTGCCCTCTTTTTCTCTCTAAGTTTAACCATTGATTAAAACGCATGATTTTGTTCCCCATCTGTATGTATATGTTTTACAAAAATGTATCAGGAGTAGATGGTGCCCACTACTTAACAACATTATATATCCAGAAGGCCACTAAAGGTTGCAACATTAGATGTTTGCGACATAGCCTTATCGGTTTACCCTTACGTTATTGGAGAACCATCGTTGGTTCTCATTTTATTATTATTATCTTTTGACTCACACTTTGTGTCT